AAAGAACTGTGGATGCTGTAAATCAGGAACAAAAACAAAGTTGCAGTTCTGAGGAAGGGTCACCGGACCCGAAACATTAACTCTGTTTTTTTCCCTTCACAGATGCTGCCAGACCCGCTGAGCTTTTCCAGCAACTTTGTTTGTGGTCCTGATTTACAGCATCTGTAGTTCTTTCAGGTTCTATTACAGCTTCTGCAGTATCAGGATGCAAGGATACAGCCAGTATCAGTGATAAGTGGATCAAAATATGATCAAGTTCAACATAGTATTTGAAAAGGAAAATTGTGAAACAGGCACTGATTCTAGATTTATATAAAAAGGATTTCAATGTAATGAGACAGCAAATCCACAGTAAATTGGATAAATCTGTTGATGGATAAAACCACAGAAGAACAATTGAGTATTCAAAATGCATTTAATGAAATACAGGACCAGTTTATTATCCTGAGTGAGCTCAACTTGCCAAAAAAGAAGCAACAAGAAGAGGTAAGAGACAACATTAAAGTAAAATATGAAGCTGTTAAAACATGTAAAACATACATAATAAAATTAATCTGAAAAATTCCTGAATAAAGTTTGTGAATACTTAAAAGGGTTGACGTTTAGCCATCTTTGCAAATTAGATGGGTGTGGTTGGGCATTTGGAATTAAGCAGCAGATCTACCGTTATTTAATTGCAGGTTGGAAGACGCCCAAGGGGCTAAATGTCCTGTTTTGTTTCTGTTAAGTTTCTGTGTCATGTGAGAGTGTGATCACTGACCCAAGGCTAATTTTTTTCTTTTAAAAAGTGCTGCACTGTTGTCTACTAAAGCTTTTATTCTTAAACTTCAAATATTTTTTCTGTTTTTCCAGGCTTTGTCAAGTGAGTCATTTGAACGACTTCCTGTTTTTAATAAATCAGCTTGGCGGCATTACCAGACCACTCCAGAAGCAGATGATTGGAGCAATCCCAGCAGTGAACCAAGGGATGCTTCCAAGTACAAAGCCAATCGGTAGTCCTGCTCTAACCTCAGTCTGATGACCAGTGTTCTGTGTACACCATAGAAACTAAGCTATATGTGTTTATGACCTTGGATCCATCAAGAATGTGTGGCGAGTACATAATTCCTCTGTTGATTACTGAAGCCTCTTTAGGAAGATGTGGAACACTTACAAGGTTAATCGAAAAAACATATAATTCAAATGCAGTTTTGCACTTTAGACTGTACTAGTCTTTTTTTTTAAATGGTGTTACTTGGATGTTTTAGCCTCTATAGATCTATAATATTTTGTTAAAATACTGGACTGCTGAATGATGAAGGAGCCTCTGCAGCTGAACAACGGTTCTATGGAGCAGTGCTTGAAATCAAACTTTTTAAAATGGTCAGTATTATTTGTCAGAAGTATGTAGGAACGTATGATTTATTTTAATATCTAAAAGTGTTGGGAATTTCATACAATTTTAAACTGCTTTATTTTTCTGCTCAACTGAGGGTTTGCTTTTAATCCTGTTAAAATCTACTTAAATTTGACTCTCAATATTCAAAAATTCCAACAATATTGTTGATACTTCCACCAATTAGGAATGGAGAAATCTAAAGAAATGTGAATCAGGATGGATTTCACCTTTTTGGAACTAGTGCAAACAACAGCTGCTCTGAATTTTTTTTTCACTGAAAGTTGCAAAAGGATTCTCAGTAAGTAGTTTATTCAGTGACAATCCACTTTCCAAAATTCACAGGATGAAATTGCCCAGGGTAAAATTGGTCAGGCATTATTGGATTGCTTTGAGGGAGCTTTTGCATTGCATCATCCAAGACATTTGCTATTAATAGTGTAAAAGTAAAATGATCCTTTCTGAAACAATTTTCCTTAAATTTAAAGTTTGGAGACTATCATTAGTTTTAGCAGGAGAGTATCACATTGACTGCTTATGTTGTACTCCGTCTGGTTATCAGTTTGATCTGTTAAAAGCAATTTGGGTGGCATGTGTACAACTACTGGTCAGTTCACTACCACCAGTTTCCCACTCTGTCACATTTGAAAGTTACCCCCTCAAAAGGTAATTTCTAGCAGATCAATGAGGTTGCATTTTCTAAAAGAAATGACATTGATTTTGACATAATAGATGAGAAATGCTGAGTGGACTGTGGGTGGGGGAACAGTCTGTAAATCAGGTTAAAACCAACAGTGCAAGATTCAACCCCTGTTCTAGCTGATCTAGGCTCAGCACCTGCCTTTTCACTGAATCTGTAGTAAACATGCACAATTCTTTTCTGTGGTTTAATGAATAATTGCCAAAGACCCACCTTCTGTCAGGGATCTCATGAAGAAGATCATCAGTTGGAATTGTTCAATCTCATTCTGCAAGAAATGAATTATGTCAGCACAGCCTGGATTGTAACCAGCTGGACCGTCAATTGCATGCTCACAAGTGCTTTGTTTTGAATTATTTATTTATATAGTATTCACCAGCTGAAAGAACAAAATGTCTAAACAAGATGTTAATCTAAGTTGGTGTGGGTGGGTGGTGTTCTTTTCTTTTAGCTAATAAAAGTATTTATTTCCCCTTGCAAATATCCTTGATATTCATATGCTACTGGGGTTGCCATGTGTCAGTAACCAAACAAAATTACATTTGTAAGTGCTGATTCTTTCTTACCTACTTTGCATTGTTATTGCACTGTTTTAAGCTATTAAAACATATATCATGAAGTAACAGTTATAAAGTGGATTATATATCAGAATGCATAGGTACAATTGTGATGCAAACAAACTTGGCCTCAACTGACCTTCAATTTGGTGAAAATGTGTTGAGGAAATGAAAGTGACTACAAACCAAAACTTGCATATTTTGCAAGACGACTTGTCAAAGCTTTCAGATTCACGAAAGAGCCGTTCTTTTTGCCTCTTCACCATATACAGTTGGAATTGGATCATGTCAACACTGAAGGTTTTCCTTGTGTATAGATGATTTGCATTTCAAAATACATGCAAGGCACTTGATTTGTGGATTTTCATAGAATATAATCCTCAAAAGATTAATATAAATCTTGAACTCTTGCAATGAAACCACAATTTGACTGACTCTTTCACCATAAGTGTTTATCAAAGTGATGCATGTAATGATAGTTGTGCTGTAGTACAGAACCAAGATCACTGAAAAAGGACATGTTTTGTTGAAGCTGTTTATCTTGCACGCATCAAGACAAATCACAAATGCTGAAGTGAAAGGAAAACAATATTTGTGCTATGTAAAATTAGAGTGCTGACTGGTTGGCAAATGGAATCTGATTGATAGAGGCATTGCTGTGTAGACTGTTGCAGTTAATGATTGCCTGTTAACTACCAGCCTGTTTAAATTTTAAACCATATTGCTGAGCTGAAACAGGTGGATTGAATGTGCACGTTCTTTCTGTTTGCCAAGAATGGGGCACTGTATCAATATATGTAGCTTCCAGTACACACAGTGCATCACACTCCAAAATCCAACTGACAATCCTGAATTCGCTGTCAGCAATATCTCAAAAGTTTGAGCAACAGATAAAACTAGCTATTTGATGCTGCTACTATACATGGTTGGTGTTCACCACTTACCAGATGCTGTCATCAAGGCAAAAAGGCACTATGTCTATCTCACAAATGAGTCATGTGCTTTGTGAATTTCAATGCCAGTGTGATGCTCAGTATATAGGCTGTGCCTACTAAAGACTGGTAGATCATATCAGGCAACATATTCCTTACGTTGTTCACAACAACCAGGTACTGATGGTACCCAACCAGCCCACATTTACAAAATCACAACCATGTCTAGCATTAGATATGATTCTGAAGTTGGACAACATTTGGTACATCATCCTGAGTGTACAAAGAATTACGTAGATAATCAAGTTAGGATTGACAGTTGGGTTTGCACTGTGGCGCACTTGCATGTACTGGAAGCTACCTACAAAAAAAACATGTAAACATGTAGCACCTGTTTCAAAGCAACAAAATAGGTGACAATCATTTCCCTGAGAATTGAATCAGACAATGCCTTGACCAATCAGATTCAATCTGCCTTACTTCAAATTTAAAAAGCCTGACGGTTAACTGTCAGTTAACTTTCCCATAAGTGAAGAGTAATTTGCAATATATTTACTAGTCAATAGTAATGTAATAGTAAGCAAACTAAGGTCTTTATCCAAATTTCTGCTATCTTTTGCCAATATATCTCTGAAACGTCAAGTAGGTTAATTGTTTCGGATACATTTTCAGTTGCTATTTGGTGAAAAACACACTGTTTAAGGAATAACAACGTTTTGACTATCTACTTTGCCCAGTATTTCTGATCATCACAAGTTGTGGGGATGTAAAGTATATAGAATTGGAGTCATTTCATTTAAATTTCTGCTGCTAACTGGCTAAGTCATTTGTGTATTCAGAAAAATATCTAAGTTTATTTGGGGCAGGTCTTAATTTTTTGGTGATGTAATGATAGCACATAAACAGCCCATTCTACATCACTCTAGTTTTTTATTACAATTGACATCAATTAAGAGAAATGTTCAAATGTGCTACCAACTTACAATCACACTTAATACACTATAGCCCAATGTCCAGATGCAGTTTCTAGTACATTATAGATACATGCTAATTTACCAGTCTTTGAGTTATCACATTTATTTTGCATGAGCCTTTAATAAGAAAAATAACCCCCTAATGAAGGAATGTCAGCTTTTATGTGAATATTTCAAGACTGTTCCACTGACTAGTACATGATGCATAGTATGTTATTGTTTTTTTTTGCTGCAGATGAACTCAATCTCTGTGAGAGCCAGAACTTCAAAACAAATTACACTTGCTTTGTTAGTGTTTTAATTGTACAGCCAACATCTAATTAAGACATTGTAATTTAAGAAGGCAAGATATATACCACTGACAATCCTGTCACTTGCTAAAATGCTGTTTTCAGACTTCAACTGCGCATCATACGCAGCCTGACACTGTTGATTAGGATGGCCACAGATGATGACACATGTAACAAGTGTGTTCATTATTTGACTCAATGCAATTGCGGTGATAAGTGGTGGTGGGGAGTTATTTGATTGGAGAATTTAAACAGTTCTAACAAAGTTTTTTTTTGTCTATCTCTGTAGATATTTTCACTAATATAACTTTAACGTGAGCATTCTGCTTTTAGGGATCTTTCAAATGAAAATCACAATTGAGTCCAAACATCTTGCATGTTTAAAGTTCATATTCTACTACACCAACCCTTAAAAGGAGACAGTATTTCGTATGTATAAAAGTATCAGATTTTTAACATTCAACTTGAGAAAATTAAATATTTGTAGAGTATTCTAGTTGAATTTATGCAAATATTTGACCTCTGGAGCATTGAGTATGTTGAAAGACGTTTAAGTCTGTTTAACAACATTAGAGATTGCAAATGTTTTCACACATTTAAAATTGCAACTTGAGTCCAAGATGAGAGTGGCACATATTAAATTAAAATGTCAGGTACTTTCCTTGATGCAGCTTTAGCTTACCCTCAACTTCTTAAGTAATGAAATTTCAGGAAAGTTGATTGTTATGTGGTCCTGTTTTTCTCTGAACAAAAGTAGTTTTATGCATTTACAACATTAATTTCAGGAACTGTTTTTTTGCAAGGTTAACTTTTAACTAGTTGAAGTGTTTGTAATCTGCTACCAAACATTCCAGAATGATGTTCACCAGTTTCCCAATTTAGGTGTGATTCGTACATATTATGAGCAGCCTAATAAATTCTTTGTGAAACTTAAATAAAAACACACTGCTGAAAATACCGTTAAGTAGTATCTGGAGAAAAATTTGACATTTCATCAAGCTTAATTGAGACCTTAGCCCACCATAAATTTCATGTGGGTATACTTTGGTATTGCTTTGAATTGCTGTTTAACATTTCTTCAAATTAAGGGATTTAGGAAAATGACTACAAGCTGTACCTTTTGGGTAAAATATTTTCACATGCAGGGTATGCAACTGTGTCTTTGATCTAATAATGTTCAATAGCAACTCCCTGATACTCAGTACTAGTAACTGAATAACAGTTTGGGCTTTAAATCAACAGACAATGCGCAGTGCTCATTATCATTCTCGTAATATGGGGTGGATTTTTGAGTCAGTTTGATTCCACGGCCAAGTCAAAGAATCCTCAATAGCTCAGCAGCAGCAGCATTGTTAGTAAGCAAGTTAATCACATAGAAAACTTCTATCAGTCATCAAATCAGGAATATTTACATCTAAATCTCATTTAATCCTCAAATTTGATGTAGCAAAATAAATAGTTGAAACAGATGTATGTTGTAAATTTATTTTTAAAATAAAAAAAAGCTGGCCAAGTGAGTGGGAAGAGAGGTGGTGGGGGGTGGGAGGGAAGACTGTGGTTGTTTGAAAAGAATGGGAAGTTTTCAAGTTTCTGATGTCAGTATAGAAGCATTGAGTTGGAAACAGATTTCAATGCTGACAGCATGCAGCAGCTAGCAAATTGAGATGATTTGTAGTCATTGAATACTTATTAAAGCAGGTAATGTGGTCTTCATTGAATGTAAATCAGTTGGAACTGTTTGTTATCACTAAAAGAGTTTATTGGAAGAGGGGGGAGGAAGCTGAGCTGTATTGTTGGGGACATCAAGGGTGACCATGGGATGCTGGAGGGACATTGATTGGAGGCCTATGGTCACAGAGCAAAATGGCGTTATGCTGGAAGAACAGGAATTTTTGGTTAAAGAAACACGGGTGAATTCCACTATCCATACGTGTAACATTTTGACTGAAGGGCAGGTCACCATGCCTTTGCCTGGTTTTTGCTGTTGGGATGGACAGACCTTTTTTGCTTCAGAAATTGAACAATTTTCCTGGAGCTTTGTGGCAGAGGAAAGTTACAGAGGAAGAATTAGGTCCTATACAATAGCAACTGTAAGACTAACAAAGAGTGAGACCAGACTCTGTATTCAGTCACAATGGAGGTATCCTGAGGGACCAGTGCATCAACAAGTAATGGTTTCTCCAAAGGGGTCTCACTCCTACCTTGATCACCAGCAAACAATTGAGGCCATGTCAATGGCTGCTGAGGCAGGAAGAGTACGCAGTGGCATAGTGGTAATAACACTGGAGTAGTAATCCAGAAACCCAGTCTAATGTTCTGGAGCCGTAGATTCAAATCCCATCAGGGCAGATGGTGAGATGTTAATTCAATAAAAATCTTGACTGCTGAGGCTATATAAAGAAGCAGTCACTATTCTCTGTGCTTTACTCCAGGACAGCTTCTGAGCCCTTGGACTGGGAGGGAACCCAATGCCATGGGCTCATTTCAGGGCTCCACAGGGAATTTGTGCGCTATTGTGCAGGTGGCTGCACTTGGCTGTATAAGCTCATAGATACATTTATGACAAAACGTTTATACACAGCAGTATAGATCTAGGGAGCCAGATTGCAAGGTTATTACGTTTCCACAATTGTAGGGTATTAACAACTGCATGATATAGTCATTGGACCTCCCTGAGACTCGCCTGCAAACTTCATAAACAGATGTACAATTAGTATATGACCATAGGAGACACATCTCTCAGATTTGTGTTCAGTTCCCAGGGAAATCTTGCAGTCAATATGTTCTTCATAGCTGTTTATGCCTCTGTGCACCTAGATGGATCAAATTCTAGGTGACAGGTCTTCTACTCACAACTTGCGATGACACCAGTGAAAAAATCTTGAATGCCAATTGTATAGCACTACAATATGTTCCTGATCCACAAAGGTTCTAACAAAGCAGAGCATTAGATTCAAAAACAGAAGTTGCTGGAAATGCTCAGCAGGTCTGGCAGCATCTGTGAAGTAAAATCAGAGTTAACATTTTGGGTCTGGTGACATTTCCTCAGAACTTCCATATGCTGCCAGCCGAGTGTTTACAGCAACTTCTGTTTTTGTTCCTGATTTACGACAGCAGCAGTTCTTTCGGTTCTCAGAGCATTAGATTGTTCAATGTAGGACACTCATACCTGCATCACTTGCTGAAGCTCTCAAATATGTCTGAAAGGTCTTGAAATGTTAAATTTTGTAATGTTGCACACAACATCCTAGCAGAGGGGGACAGAAAAGCCACATGTTTCATTGCACGAGGATAATGGGGAGGATGCTCTGCAGCAAC